TGGTTCAATTAGCTGAAATTTAAAAGCATCTTCCGCCTATCTACAAATGTAAGTACTTTATGATGTGTCTGAAGTAATGGCTTGTATTAATGTGCTGAATGAAAAATAAAAAGTACGTCTGAAGACTTTGTACTTTATTTTTTCTAGGATGCAAAGCAGGTTAAAATGGATACAAAAAACTTTCAAATTCTGTACTTTTACTACCTGTTAAATAAAAAAAATTCCAGATTTTTTTTTTTAATAGCGTAGGAAAGTATAGCATAGCTGGTGATGGAGCCTGAAGTGTAGAGGAAGGCCTATCCTACAGCTCTGGCTCAGGAGCCCTGGTAAAGTAACAGGGAACACCAGAACACAGAGTGAATACAAAAATTAGCACTCACTTCCTCTACCAGAACCCCAAAAAGTTACTTAACATTCCTTCCCCTGAAGTACAAAAATAATAATAATAATAGTAAGCAAACTTAAATAAATAAATAAACAAAAATATAAAGTCCCATACACCTAAAGTCCAAAATAAAGTCCAAAAATATCCAAAAATTCTTGCAAGTGATTTCCCAATAAATCTTTCTCCCCGAATCAGATTGGTGGTATACTCCAGAGAATCTTCAAATACCTCAAAGAAAAAGATCTCAACATAGTATATTACCCCAAATATTAGAATAAAGTGCCACACGTGTCACATGCAGATACACAAAAGGTGCCACAGCAATCGTAAGATCTCAGGATCTCCCTGTTGAAAAAGTCCGGATGTGACGAAACGCGTCCGGGGCACGTGACGTGGTGACGTATTGACGTTTTTCCGGAAGTGCCGTGGTGGCCATTTTGGGTTCTGCAACACGCGGCTGTTCCAACCCTGGAGACTTCCATCTTTTGCCTGGCTCTCCTTTAGAGTGGTATGGTGATATAAAAAGAGTTACCGCTAAGGAGTGGGGTCTTTTTGGACTATCTCACTATATGGAAGCTGTTTTCATCAAATTTCAATGTAAGTTGCTACAATAAAATATGTTTATCTTTTAATATACATACTGATCCCTGGTCTGTTTATGAGGTCTATGGGAAATGGTTGGAGAAGATGGTAGAACAATGTTTGGAGGCATTCTCATCTATACTATGAATCCTATGCTGATTTTATCTATGTTGGGGTAATTATGCACTCTTTATATTGTGTGCAGTGAAGTTACTAATTGAATTATATAGAGCCAGGCAAAAGATGGAAGTCTTCAGGGTTGGAACAGTCGCGTGTTCCAGAACCCAAAATGGCCACCACGGCACTTCCGGAAAAAAACGTCAATACGTCACCACGTCACGTGCCCAGGACGCGTTTCGTCACATCCGGACTTTTTCAACAGGGAGATCCTGAGATCTCACGATTGCTGTGGCACCTTTTGTGTATCTGCATGTGACACGTGTGGCACTTTATTCTAATATTTGGGGTAATATACTATGTTGAGACTCTTTTTCTTTGCGGGATTTGAAGATTCTCTGGAGTATACCACCAATCTGATTCGGGGAGAAAGATTTATTGGAAAATCACTTGCAAGAATTTTTGGACTTTATTTTGGACTTTAGGTGTATGGGACTTTATATTTTTGTTTATTTATTTATTTAAGTTTGCTTACTATTATTATTATTAGAACACAGAGTGGCTTGAGTGCCTGATAAGACTTCTGCTGGGTAATGCTGAAGTGCATCAGGATGGCAGGAGCAGTTGGCTGGTGGCACGCTGGCAGAAGAGCAGGAACTAATCTCATGGCACAGCTATGGCTGGATCAGGTGCAAGAAGAAAAGCCAAAGCAAGTTCAGACAGCCCAGGTCAGCAACTAGTAGGCAGATCAGACAGAGGCGGCTGGTACTTTCCCCCTTACCTTCTGTAAGAAATAAGGAAATGGGAAATATCCTCACTGGAAACATAGTGAAAAAAATCCCTGATGGAGATTTTATTGAATTACCACCCTATTTGAATGTTTTTTTAAAAAAAAATGTGCTGAAATTATCCTTTAATTTGTTAAATCTTGAATATTTCATCCAGTTCTGGTCACCAGTCTTCAGAAACTGGAGAGGGTCCAGAGAAGGGCAACAAAGCTAATGGGGGGACTGGAGGACCTCAGTTATGAGGAACAACTTTTTTCTCCCTGGAGAAAAAAATGATTAAGAGGAGATATGATAGTGATGTACAAAGGGTGTAGCTGTTGGGTGGTGGATTGTGGCCATTGTGTTAGGTTAACCACTTGCCCTCCTGAGGATTTACCCCCCTTAACCTCTTGCCGACCGCGCGTAGCCGAATGACGGCTTCACCGCGGCCGGCCAGTTCTGAGTGGACGTCATATGACGTCCTCCCAGAACGCGCTCTCCTGCGCGCCCCAGGGGGCGCGCACCCGGCGATCTCCGTGATCGCTGTGTCCTACGGACACAGCTGATCACGTGATGTGGTGAAAGGCCGATCTCACCGGCCTTTTACCACGTGATGAGCGGTGTCCAATGACACGCTGATCACAGGGAAATGCAAGTGCCGGTTCTCGGCTGCACTTTCCTCACGCTGTCAGATCGTGAGGAAAGTACTGCCGAGAACCGGCAGTTGTCAGAGCGGGGATCGGCACCGATCATCAGGGCACTGATGATCAGTGCCCTGATGATCGGTGCCCAGCAGTGCGCCCACTAGCCCCGCCCACCCGTTCCCAGCAGTGCCCCCACCTGTGCCCAGCAGTGCCCCCACCTGTGCCCAGCAGTGCCCCCCACCTGTGCCACTCTGCAGTGCCACCTACCTGTGCCCAGAAGTGCCACCTAAATGTGCCCAGCAGTGCCACCCACCTGTGCCCACCCACCTGTGCCCACCAGTGCCACCCACCTGTGCCCACCAGTGCCACCCACCTGTGCCCACCCACCAGTGCTGCCCACCAGTGCCACCCACCAGTGCAGCCCAGCAGTGCTGCCAGTCAGTGCCACCAGTCAGTGCCCAGGGGTTGTGCCAGCCAGTGCCGCCAGTCAGTGCCCAGAAGTGATGCCAGTCAGTGCCGTCTATCAGTACCCATCATCAGTGTCACCTATCAGTGCCGCCTATCAGTGCTGCATATCAGTGCCGCCTATCCGTGCCACCTCATTAGTACTGCCTATCAGTGCCCTTTAGTGCTGCCTATCAGTGCCCATCAGTGCCGCCTATCAGTGCCCATCAGTGCCGCCTCATCAACGCAAATCAGTGAAGGAGAAAAAAATACCTGTTTGAAAAATTTTATAAAAGAAACAAATAAACTTTTTTTTTTTTTTTCAAATTTTTTGCACTTTTTTTAATTTATAGCGCAAAAAGTAAAGTAAATACCACCAAAAGAAAGCTCTATTTGTGAGAAAAAAATGATCAAAATTTCATATGGGTACAATGTTGCATGACCGCGCAATTGTCAATCAAAGTGCGGCAGCGCTGAAAGCTGAAAATTGGCCTGGTAAGGTAGGGGGTATAAGTGCCTGGTAGGCAAGTGGTTAATGACCAGGCCTCTTTTTGCTACTCGGCGCTGCACTAATTCAACTGATAATTGCGCGGTCATGCAATGCTGCACCCAAACGAAATTTACGTCCTTGTTTTCACACAAATAGAGCTTTCTTTTGGTGGTATTTGATCACCTGTGCGCTTTTTATTTTTCACGCTATAAACAAAAAAAGACCAAACATTTTGAAGAAAAATGATATTTTTTACTTTCAGCTATAAAAAATATATAGTAAACTCAAAGTTAGTTATAAATTTAGGCCAAAATGTATTCTGCTACATATTTTTGGTAAAACAAATCCCAATAAGTGTATATTGATTGCTTTGTGTGAAAGTTATAGCGTCTACAAACTATGGTATAGATACTGCAATTTACGCCATTGTTTGCTATACAGCGCTGCGCTAGTTTAACGGACAATTGCGCAGTCATGCAATATGGTACCTAAAATGAAATTTATGTTCTTTTTTTCACACAAATAGAGCTTTCGTTCGGTGGTATTTGATCACCTGTGCGTTTTTTTTTTTTTGCGCTATAAAAAAAAAAGGCTAACAATTTTGAGAAAAAAAAAACAATATTTTGGACTTTTTGCTATAAAACATGTCCAGTAAAAAAAAATTTAAAAATCAAATTTCGTCATAAATTTCAGCCAAAATACAATCTGCGATATGTCTTTGCTAAAAAAAAAAACCCAATACGTGTAAATTAATTGGTTTTCGTGAAAGTTATAGCATTTACAAATAGCGGAAAAGATACTCGTATTTTTAATTTTTTTTTATACTAATAATGGCGGTGATCAGTGACTTATGGCGGCGATCAGTGACTTATGGCGGCGATCAGCCACTTATGGCAGGACTGCAGGACTGCGGCGGACATTCTGACACTGGGGGGGAACTAACTTGGGGGTCACTGACATCCCCAGTGACACCAATACAATGATCAGTGCAAAAAAAAACACTGACACTGTACTAATGGCACTGGGGAGGAAGGGGTTAACTTTTTTATTCACTGAAAGGGTTAACTGTGTGAAGGGAGTGTTTTACTAGGGGGCAGGGGTGTGTACTGCACGGGGACATGCTGATTGGGAGAGATAAACTCTTCTCTCCTGATCAGCGTATCAGGAGCTGTCAGGGAACTGACAGAAAGCAGAGCTACTGCAGCCCTGCTCTCTGTCAGTGATTGCCGCTAATCGGCGGGACACGGCCAGTAATGACTGGCCGTGACCCGGCGACTGACACCCGCGGCCGGGATCGGTGGTGCAGGTAGGGCGGCAGCGCGCTTCACGCGCGCCCCCTACCAGTTTTGCAAACGCACGTTTTAAAACGTGCTTTTCCCCAGCAGTGCCGCCCTGCCGCCGTATTTCTACAGTGGCTGGGTGGCAAGTGGTTAAAAGAGGAGGTTAGGTTGAGTAGTTGAGAAGCGACTGAGGTGCTAACATTGACTGGGATGTTAAAGTCACCGAGGATGATGGCAGGCACCTCAGAGGAGAGAAAGTACGGTAGCCATGCTGAGAAGTCATCAAGAAAGCGTGAAACTGGGCCAGGAGGCCAGTAGATGACTGCGATCCTCAGACAAACAGGAGAATAGAGACGGATACAGTGCACTTCAAAAGAGCAGAGGGACAGAGAGGGAGGTGTAGGAAGAACCTGGAATGTGCTTTGTGGGGAAAGAAGAAGTCCAACTCCATCTCCTTTTCGCCCACTGGGTAAGGGCGAGTGAACCCAGAGGAGGCCGCCATGGGAGAGTTCAGCTGAGGAAACAGAGTCAGATTCCTGGAGCCAGGTTTCGGTAATAGCAAGTAGGTTGAGAGAGTGGGAGAGGAAGAGGTCATTGATAGTAGAAAGTTTGTTAGAGACTGAGCAGGCATTCCAGAGGGCACATAAGAAGGAGGGGCTGGCGAGTGGAAGCAGGGGAATTGAGATAGGAGAGTGAGGGTTGTGGCTGATGCCAGAGAAGGGAGGCTGCTGCTTCTGTGGGTTGGAGTTTGATGGTGGAGGGCCAGGGTTTGGGGCAGGGGCGGACTGACAACTCATGGGGCCCCCGGGCAATAGGGGATCATAGGGCCCCTGTGTCCTTGCCCAAACTCAAAAAAGCCTATGAAAAAGGTACCAGGGGCATCTCATGGGGCCCCCTACTGACCCCAGGCCCTCGGGCAGTGCCCGAGTTTCCAAATGGTCAGTCCGTTCTGGTTTGGAGTAATGTCTCCTGGATCTTCGGGGGTCCACCACCGCTCTTTGTCAGTGCGCCTGAGCTCCTGGCCCTCAGCACATATGCATTATTCCCTTTGCGTGGCGTGCATATGACATTGTGTGCGTGGGCCCATTTACAGCAGGTGTACGCCATCTTGGTTCCAGGCTGCGGTTTACACATGGCCTCCAGTGTTTAGCGCTGTGGGGGTATCCAGTTCTGCGTGGCGTTTTTCATGCTCCTGGCAGGTACTACTCCGGATTTTTGTATGTGAGTTTCATTAATGTGGGGCTTCCTAGTTATATGTATACATTGGTCTTTCATAGTTGTTGTCCTTCTTATAGGGGATGCCTAAGAGGGGTGCAAACTTGCTATGTCTTTTTGAATGGATTCCATACTAAGGTGAAGTACTCTATCATATACTGGCTTTGTTTTTCTTTTTTTTTTCTTGGGGCTAGTTAGTTAGTGTTAAACATTCTCTATTGTATTTTTTGGCACTATAGGCAATATACCTCAATTGACAAAAGTACCAAATTTTAATGAATGAATAAAACTCACAAGTAAGGTGTCTATACCGACACCAGTGTTACAAGCATAGATTTAGGCAGCAGTATATGACCGTAACTCCGTTCACCATGGATCCCCTCCTTTCACATCAAAGACTATCTCAGACTTTGGCATCCAGTGGGCATGGCCTAACACTGGTGTCGGTATAGACACCTTACTTGTGAGTTTTATTCGTTCATTAAAATTTGGTACTTTTGTTAAACTCGCTGCACAATGATCTTTTTCTCTTACCTTTAAACATGGTCCCAATGGTATGGATATATATGAAAGAAAGTTGAGTTCTATCCCTGGAAATTACCTATATCTTTGAATGGTGGTTATTCATCTGAGGAGAGGTCATTCAATTGCACAGCTTTGCATCTAGGAACTGGATAGCTATATATTGTCCCAGAGCAAAAAGTGCTTGTGGTTAGTCCAATTATTTATTCAACATTGAGCTCTGGTGAGTGTTCCAATTTTCTTTGGTGGTGGATTCAACACAGTGAGGACATTATTTGAAGACTTTTGAATACTTATTGATTTATGAACACTTTTTATAATTTTTTTATATTTTTTTTTTTAATTTTTTTATTTTTCACATTTATTTTGCACCATTTATTTATTTAGCGCATTCCTTATATTTATTTATAGGAAAATACTAACCCGGGAAGTACACCTTGGGATGTATCCTGGCTTTTCTTCTGTCTGGTTGTTTGGCCTTGAGTACCATCAAGAGTCAGGTTTTGTCCCTGGTGCTTTTGTTTTTTCTCCAAAGACGCATGTCTCTTAGTCCTTAGTGAAAGCATTTGTATAGGATGTAGCTCACACAATCTACTAACTAAATTGAAGATTTTTCCCAGATAGCAGTAAACATATCTTTAAATATGGAGGAAAAGATAAAAAATATACAGAAACAATTACCGGTATATGATGGAAAACTGTAGTGTAATCTACTGAACTTGTATCACTGAAGTGTCGTACATAAATAATAAATACAAGCCTCTTTTCTCCTGGAGTTGCTTTTATTTCAGTAGTTAATGCACACATAATGGTTCTATCATCATGAATGATTATACCTTCTGTACCAGTGCAATGGTGCCAGATATCACAGCCAAAAATGTTGTCATTGTACAGTATATATCTGTTAGGATTCCCAAACTATATTCTTTCTTATATTATGAAATGAAGAATAAGTATGCTTGTTCATTGTCATTTGATTGTATGGCTGTTTCATTAAAACAGTGAATATTCTTGCACAGTATCAGTATTATAGGGCACTGATTCATGAAGGATGTCCAAGATTGCAAGATAGTAAAATGCCAAAAAGCTAACCCACTATTCTTTGTTACACATGACAATATTTATCTTATCCTGGGAAGTAATCCAAGAGTTCCAGTTCCAGTAGGATTGATGTAGTGTGCGCAACAGTACCTTGCAGCTTCATGTAGTCTACACAGGGGCGTATTTACCACAAGGCAAACAAGGCACTTGCCTAGGGTGGCATTTTTCAGAGGGGCAGCACCTCCCCCCAGAAGAAGGGATGGAAGAAGGGACATGTGCACCATGGGAACCAGGTGGGATCGGACAGAGGCTGCTTGATGGTGTATTTAAAGCCTGACTCTGATTCCCGGGGATGTCCGGAGCTGTGAAGACGGATGTCTTTCTCTCTCT